GTCGTTACGTTCGCGGAAGCCACGCGCGTCTGATTTTCATCATTCACGAAATGCCGCGCTCGCGTTTCACCGCGGAAAAAATAATAAACGCGCCGCGCCGCTGGCTACATGGCGGACACGGACACGGTAACGTCTCTTTCGAGCTGTGGAATGCCACATTAATAACCCAGTAAATACCAATTTTCAACGTGAAAGCCCTCTGTCTCTTTCTCTCTCGTTGTACCGGCGCGCACGGAAGACATGCGAAGCACACACTTCATCGAATCTTCGTATATTCTATGCTCACCAAATTTCGTTTTTATTGAAATTTCAGTAGCCGCGCGACAAAACGCGTTAATTAGTTGGTAGTCGCGCGTGCGGGGAGAGAGCGATGAGGAGGATAATCACGGCTTAATTGGGCCGGTCGCTATATCGCGACAGCGGTCGGTTTATCGCAGGTGTAGGACCGCCACGTGTGGGGGTGTGAAGCGCGATAACTCGTCGGTTTAGGATCGTTGGTACCCCGGCCACCCTAGAGAGTCTAACCTTGATAAGGATCGCTGCTAATTGTTGCGAATTGGTGAAGGTGGCGAACGAACGAGGGAGGTTGGGCAACAGGTGTCATCTGATTGATCGCCGTTGCTCGCACCCCCACGATTACCTAGCCCACAAACACATCCACGGCAGAAACGAAGGACTTAATGTCGATCCATTACGTACTGGCCCAGCCGGGCGAGGAATCGTTGACCTGACGCGCTCCAAAGTGCATTACGAGGCGGAAAAGGACGAACGTCGAACAAGAGAGGGACGTCCGTTGCGTTTACGCCCGACGCTTGGTGATGATCGCGCGGAACTGTGCGCGACGCGACGCGTAATTCCGCTCCTTCTCCTCTCCCCGTCCCTGGATTACTCCAAGTCGTGATATCTGTCAGGGAATTATGATTTCAAATCTCCGAGAATGTACAGCAACTACTCGCCACTTAACGACAAACACCCGATAGTTACTCGCTCGCGGAGGTCATCACATGAATACCCAAAAGAACGACACAACGGAGAGCGAGTGGACTGGCAGTAAACTTCTCGAGCAATAACAATCGAAAACAATCACTGCACATATTGCAAGTTGTTTCTGTTGATAATTAACTCGACAATGACAACGCTCGATTTTCGACTCAACTATTGGACACCTCACCAAGAGATTGGAAAAATCGGTTCTGAGGGAAAAAATATCTAAGTAAAGAAATATTTGTTCGGTGGATATTGAGCACATATATGCTCATACTAATGTGTTTTAATAAGAAAATGCGTATTTTCTTAAAACTTTAGCTCTTTCATCAAAGTAACTGTTTACACTATTTAAATGGAAGAATTTATATTTCGGTAAATATATTGTAAAAAAAATAAAATATGTTATTCAGTGCTCGCCGAGTAAATATTCTTTCAGATTTTTTTCTCTTACAGTGTACATAGACCAAATATTCGTATATCTCTGTTGCAGCAGGAGGCGAAGTTGTTATTAGCAATGATGACATTTGAGGCAGAACAAGAAAGCTGCTTTCTCATTCTAGCTTAGAGCAGTTGTCAAGGGCCGCCATTTTGTAAAATTTTAACTATTAATTAACGTTTGGATTAATCAAGGATTAGCCAAAAATTACAATAGCTAAATGATCATAATAGATTTACATGAGTGTTAAAGTTTTGATGTTGTATCAATATAAGTCACTTATCTGTGATCTGCGGGAGTCCACAAGGTGGCAAAAGGGGAATGATCTCTTGAGAAACAAGAACAAGAACTCAACTACTGAGGACTTGGAACCATATATATCTATCAGTGTCACCAATGTTATTAAACAACACGTACCGCTTACCGCGGTATCGTGATACCGCGGGTAGGTTCATACTCCTTGTCATTCTCGAGTTAAAGTGATTGTTAATCGTTTGCTAATTGAACATTATTCGTTTCTAATTTCACTATATTGTCCTCTATAGTATCCTCGAAATTGAAGTCTCACAGTTATAACATTCAGAAATAAGATAAAAATCCCTGACGTTCAATTCGCATAAACTTAGTTTAGCTTCCAACAAACAGAAGGATAAAGACTTTTATTACGGAAAGCAATCTTTTGAAGATTCCGAATGCTTATCGCACATTTTGCTTCTTATTTTTTCTTTTTTGACAACGTTATCCTCCATTCGAACTAATCCACGGCGAAATTTGCGGCTTGGGAACGCCACTCGGTGCCGTCGAGATCGGCAAGCCGCAAATCTGCGAGAAAGTTTAAACGCCGCCATCGATAAATTATCCGGAGGAATAGAGATTCCAGCCGGCGCAGCCGGAAGGATTCCCGGGATTACGAGCCCCTCGGAAAACGCGGACTCGACTTCATCAGGCCGCTCGGCGACGTGCTCCATCGAGGGTACCGCAACGGAGAAGACGGTGGTGGTGCGCGTGCCCCCGCGTGATACAGCGAAAAAGTCACGGCGAAGGTGGTTTAAACCATCCAAGGCCGAAAGGGCGTAGCGGGCGGGATTCAGTTCGCCCCGGTCGTCGGCGCCGCGGCGACTTCGCGGCGAGTCGCGCGAGATTAACAGCGCGCCGCCGTGAATATTCGCCGGGATAATTGATACCGACGTCGGGGAGCGGCTGACCATTGGAAACCGCGCGCGCAATATATCACGGATAATAAGCAGCCGGTGCGCGCACAGCGCACACGCCTGTGCTCTCGACGGGGGCGGAGGAACGGGGGGGTTGCCGAGGTGCAGTGCACCGCGCGCGCGTTGAGGGCCCCTCGAGACGGCGACTCTCTCCGCGATGCGATCGCGATACGATGCCCCGCGGTTCCGCGGAGTCACGTCGCCGTTCCACGTCCGAAGGAAAAGGTGGCGATCGCCGACGGCCATCGTCCGCGGAACAATGGAGGACGACGTGCGCGTCGTCTCCTTGTCGTTGCTTTGCGCTGACGCGCGAACGTACACACGTGTGTGCGTGCGATGCACGGGTAGACAGGCACCGACGACATTTAATTACACTGAGGGTGAGCCGATTTTTCCAACCTCTTGGCGAGCTGACCGACCAGTTTAACTGTGTCTTTGTTTTTCCTTCAAATCAGACAAAGTCAGATACACGACTCAACTGTTGGACACCTCACCAAGAGATTGGAAGAATCGGTTCTGAGGGAAAAAATATCTAAGTAAAGAAATATTTGTTCGGTGGATATTGAGCACATATATGCTCATACTAATGTGTTTTAATAAGAAAATGCGTATTTTCTTAAAACTTTAGCTCTTTCATCAAAGCAACTGTTAACACTATTTAAATGGAAGAATTTATATTTCGGTAAATATATTGTAAAAAAAATAAAATATGTTATTCAATGCTCGCCGAGTAAATATTCTTTCAGATTTTTTTCTCTTACAGTGTACATAAACCAAATATTTGTATATCTCTGTTGCAGCAGGAGGCGAAGTTGTTATTAGCAATGACATTTGAGGCAGAACAAGAAAACTGCTTTGGGACTATTGCTTTCTCATTCTAGCTTAGAGCAGTTGTCAAGGGCCGCCATTTTGTAAAATTGGGCTACATAAATATATACACAAGAATATAGCAGAGCCAAGTCGCTTTAAGCTAGGTAACCCCGAAACAGCTTTCTCACTCTGTCTCAAGCTGCCAATGTCGACTCCCCGAAATTTCAGTCCTACTTTTCACCTGAACTTTCTTAAATCTGTATATTCTGAAAGTTCAGTGTATACTTAGTACATATGGAGATTGAAGTTCTACTCAGCTAACATGTCAGAAAACACACGAAATGCCACTCGCAGGCTCTAAAGAGGATCTTTTGGCGAAGCTAGTAAGTTAAATCGAGTCTAAAGACGTTGATACAGGATCAATGTAGATGTTAAATGGAATATTGAGGTTGAAAGTGGGATCACACACACAAAATTTCAACTCGAACTTACTCTGTGGAGAATATACTGCGGTCTATGTACATAAGTCGTTGGTAGGTATGTAGGTAGGCAGGCAGGCGGGCAGACAGGTTGGTGGATCTAGGTACACGTCGGGCCCGAGGAGAATGATCGTGCGCGAAGTGACCCGCGTAATCGTAATTAATCATCGTGTAACCCGTGACTCGCGGATCGGTATCGCGTAGGGCGGCTCCGCCGGTTATCGTCGACTCGGAGGAGTCGAGCCGCTCGCTCGCTCGTTCGTGTGCTCTCTGAGCGGCGATGTCGGAATTTATGATCGGCCGTGATGGAATTGGAATGAGCAATCGTTGCGCCTTTGTCGAGGCAGCTTGCTCTGCCTCCTCTTCCGCATTGGCAGCGGCGCTGGGGGAAGGCGCGGAGGGGATCGTTTCCGGAGGAGGAGTATCTCTTTAATACGCAGATTTTTATCCGCGAAAAATAAGATGTAACGAGCGCGTTGCTTGATTTATAGCGTTACACGTACCCCTGAAACCCCGCGCTCGCGCATTAGACGGCCCACGCAAACCGAATTAGCGGTCGTGTAATCCGCGGCTGATCGATCGGTATCTCCGATCTCCGTTTATCACCGCTCGAAAAGTCAAGCCCGAGAGAGCCCCGCGCGGCGCAGCGCGCGCTCAACAGGAAGATCTTGTCTCGTAACAATGCCAGGCCTCATCATCGATCTCGAACGCGCACCGCTCCGCGCCCGACGGACCTGGAATTAACAATCGGTACTTTGTGCCACTCCATTGTTGCGCTATGAAGTCACTGTATATTAATAGATACGCAGAGCGCGCGGCAGATGCATCTGCGGCGCGGCTACGCCGAAAGCGTTTTCAATGAGATCCGAATCGGCAGAACGCCGTCGCGATTTATTACCGGCCGGCGTGATCTCCTCGGGATTTTTAACTTCAGGAAAAGAGAGAGCGCGAGGAGATAGATAGAGCGAGAGAGAGTAGAGCGAAAGAGAGAGAGAGAGAGAGGGAGAGCGCGAGAGATAGAAGACGTTTCAGTGACGCGGCGATTTTGCTACACGGTGCCTGACCTATTGTTCGCAGGATCGTGAGGAACAAGGCGGCGGAGAAGGCGAAGCACGCGCATCAGCAACAGCAGGCGCAGCAGCAGCAAGGTCAGCAGCAAGGTCAGCCCGGATCGGGCGGTTCCGTGTCGGTGATAGCACATGCACCTGCGACGGCGGCAGGCCATCCCGCTGCCACCGCTCCCAACGCCTACAGCATCAGTGGCATCCTGGGCATCCCGGTGCACCATCAGGATCCCAATGGCAACAGCATCAAGAGGAAACGCGGCGATGACGGTGAGTCACACCGAGCAGAGCGCGGCTTACTCGTGTCGCTGACCCCCGCCGCACCGTTCACATCGCGCATCCTCCGTTCGCTCTGTCATTCTGTAACATCATTCAATACTGAATTCGATGCTCATTATCGATAGCAAGGATCGCATTAGTTGAAATATCCGATTGCAGCTTGCGGACTTGCAGAAATCGCGGCAAGCGAAGCGGCGGCGGCGGCGGCGGCGGCGGCGGCGGCACGAAAGCGAGCGTCACGAGGAAGAAGCGTTATTAATAACGCGGGCGTATAAATTGAATAGCGGCGCGCTTTCACGTAACGTTCCGATAGTTGAGATGGTATAATTGTCGGTACAAATAGGAATCGTGCCACGCCACGGTAACTCCATCGTTTATGAGAGTTAGCGACGCGATGTAAGTTCCAAGTAAGAAATACGACAACATTTGCATCGCCGTCACGGCCCAGCAAATCGGCACGAGCTAAGTCTTATACAGGCGGGGAGGGAACCAACACAATGGAGAAGTTGAACAATTTCACGAAAACTCAGACGTTAATACCGCGGTGACGTCGCGAGAACCGTCAGAGTCAATTTGTGCGCGCTCATTGTCTCGTTCCCGGGGATCCCGAATTTTCGTCGGCTTATTTCGTCGCGGGACAAAGACCCGCGAATTATGCTCCGCTCGATTGTAACGTCTATTGAGACAGACATGCACAGGCAGAATGGGAGCGGGAGGGGAGAAGAGGAGTTCATTCGATTACAGACTTAATGACAGACGTGTATCTCGTTAGAGCTGACTATTCGCGCGGCTCCTGCATGCGAAATACAAAATAGACGCGGTTTCTTATAATGGCATCGTGCAATTAACCCTTTGAGTGCCGGGGAGTGCGATCGAGCTCCTCATAAGACAGACGAAAATACTATGAGCGCGACAGGGCTTTCGAGATTTCGAAAAGCATGTCAGTCAGCTTCAGTCAACTGATCGTATAAGTTGCGGTAATTGTCGCAATGTTTTCATCGTTAAGAGAAACAATAATGTTGCTATGTGTTATTCTTTATATGTTTTTTCTGAAAGGTCTAATTTCCTCCATCATTTTTAGTAGAATTATTTACGCAGAAATAAAAGTGTAATCTCGTCCTTTTGCAGAAAACTCAAGAGGATTCTTCTAAAACCAAAAGAAAAATATTCTAAGCATAATAAAATGTTTTCTTGTTAGAAAATAGTACTCTTTTGGTAAAAGTTTCATTCAGAATATGGAACTACAGAAGATAGCATCACGCAACTAAAATTCTTTTTTCGGATATTAGAACATTTAAAGGTATTCTTCTACGTTAAATTTGTGCCAAATTGTGGTAGAGGGATAAAGGGCAAATAAGAGTTATTATTTTTCTTGTTGTCCGCTGTCCAACAATTTTAAACCTCATTTATTTCCTGATATATTTCTGATTTATATCTCTGATTTCTGTCTGATTTATATCTCTGTTTTCTGATATATTTCTCTTTACTAATGCGTCAAAAAGTATTCATTTGTACACAAATTGTAACGCTTGTCCGTCTGTCAATATTCTTTTCTTGGAAAAATTGTGTGATATTGTGAAAGGGTTTATCCTGTCAATAAAGACTGTAGTTACTACTATTATTTTCCTTTTGGTTTTAGAGAGAACCAAAGAAACTTGAGGTCATAGCATAAGAAGAATCTATAGATGAAATTAGATACTTTTGGAAACCTCATTAGAAAGACGGCACTCAAAGGGTTCTTGCGTACGATTAAGTGGACAGTGTAAAAGTGGAGCACACACTCACACACGTATGAATAGCTCAGCGTAAGAATTTCGCATATCGGAGAGCAATAAACGTTCAGAAGCCGGGCGTTCTCCGGCGACTCTGGCCGTCCTCATTTGCGAGAGAGATCGCAGTCGCACGTTACCCCGAGCGAACCAAGATTAGCTACACACACAGCAAGGTTATCAGTCAAACGTCGGCCAGCACGTGCTGCGATTCATTCTGCTGTCATTGCGTGAATAACGCGGCCCGAAATATTCTTGACACGTGCTGCGGCCACGCGACCGACAACGCGGCCGGCGCGTTTCGGCGAGAGGAGAAGAGCTCTCTCTCTCGTGGCGACCCGACCGCGGGATCTCGACGGGCCCGTCGCTTGCGAGGTGCGAAACAAGTGCCGCACGCGATAATATTCCACTCGCGATCAAACTCACCGTCGTCGCGCGTCATCGGCGATTAGACTAAGGGCGCATTCACACTTTGGCGAAGAAGCAGGAAGCAGAAAAGCAGAAACCAATCAGAACTCGTGCTGGTGGTCGGTCTGCTGGTTTCCGCTTTTCTAGCGCGAGTTCTGACTGGCTTCTGCCTTTTCTGTTTGCTGCTTTTCCGCCAAGGTGTGAATTCTCCCTGACTCGATGGTCGTGATGCCGCGGAACATCCGCGTAACTCCATTCCGCGTATACGTGTGCGATACACATGCGTACACACGCGTGTGTGAGTGAGCGTGGAGTCGCTCGCGAACGGCGAAAACACGCGGCGAGGAAAACCGCGCGCGTAAGCGCGATCAAAATTCCGCGAGCGCGCGCGTTTCGCGGCGTAGATATATCGATTCGTGTGTACTACGCGGAGAGCGGACCGGCGCCGATGGGTACACGGGTAATTCAATATAATCGGATTATGAGAGCGGCGATACGCGGCCGCAAAAGCGGTCGCGTCCGCGGCGAGAGCACTCAATGTTTTGCGAGCGAGCGCGCGCGGAGGGGTGTACGTATTAGATTATAAACTTCACAGACCACAGGCGGCTTCTATCTCGCGGCCCGGACGACACATTAGCCTCCCTATCCTCCGGGGAGATCATCGACGTGTACGTACGTGTACGCGTACGTATATATCTCTTCCTCCTCTTCATCATCCTCATCCTCCTCCTCCTCCGCCTAACTGTCTGGAATTTCAACGAGCGAAGCGCGTCCGACGTATCCGCGCCGAGCGTCGGACGGAACGTAAAAATCGACCGAGCGTCGCGCGTTAAAGCCGGCCGCAAGTGCTCAAATTTAATGAAACGCTTCGGCCGCGGAGCCGTTTGGAAAAAAAAAAAAAAAAAAAAAAAAAA